AAATGTTCCAACTTTTTGTTTTAATAATACTGTTTCTGGTAATATGTTAAAAGGAAAAATAGTATTTCTAGTGTTACAAATAAGTAAAAATGTGAAATAATTTCATATATGGGAGTAATGAAGGAAATGACTTCTTGCTTACTCTATGGAATAATATATGACTAGTAAAAATGTGTGGTCTGTGGAATACATGCAAATCAAGAATTGCTTGTGAAATAGTGAGTGGAAAAGTTGGAATTGTGAACAATATGAGAACCACTATATAAAACACGTTCATAGTGAAACACATTCTAGATTATTGTGTTTGGGTCACAGGATTAAGACTGTCTTTCTGGTTAAAATATTTTCAGTTTTGTTGTGTTTCTAAGGAAAACTAATATGAATAACTTATCCGGCAGCTGTGTTAAACTGAGCTGTCAGGAACGGCTTTTCACATGGTATTCTGGAACCCTGCTAAAATACTATTCTCGATGTCCTTACTCTTTTGGGTCGGTTTTCACTACGTTTATCTAGTGGTAGATTGGATGGGGCGAAGCTTACAGGATTTGGGGTTTGTGCTCTCATTCTGCATTCATTAAACTGAGAAGAAAGTTTAATGGAGTTGGTGCTCAGTCAACTTCCAGTAAGTATAAGGATTTTTGCCCCTAGCAGGGACAGTACCTCCATTTGAGGGGGAACACAGTGTAAGACAAGTCAGGAAGTCTGTTTCTAGTCTCAGGCCTTGGGCAGGTCCTGCCTTCTGAGCCTCAGTCTTATTGTCAATGAAAGGAGAGTGGTGGAGATTGCTAAGGGTTAATCAGCTCTGTAAGGAGGACATGGTGACACAGCACAGTCTTACTCCAGGTGCCGGGAGCTCACTGTGAAGCCTGTTGCAACCAGCCAGTCCCTATCCTGCTTCAGGGAGTGCCCTTTGAACTTGGAAAGTATAATTCCTGCATATTACAGGGTAGGCCATTCATCTAGATGGCCACATAAGCCAGCATTGTCAGTGCATCTGATTTATTGCATGCAGATAGCTGATACAGACCAATCAGTGACAAGCATTGCCAAGTATTAGCCAATGATAGACTACTACATTTTTTAGACCATGCAACAGATTGAAAACCAAATTTCAGATGTGGTGGTACAGGCCTTTGGGTACCAGCACTTGGGTGGCAGAGGCAGGTGAATCTCTGTGAGTTCCAGGCCAGCCTATGCTGCATAGTTATAGCTATCTCAAAAAAAAAAATCAACAACAACAAAATGGTCTCTTTCTGGACTGGAGAGATGACTCAGTTATTAAGAGCACTGGCTATTCTTGCGGAGGACCTGGCTTCAGTTCCCAGCACCCACATGGTGGCTAACAGTCGTTCATAATTCCAGTTCTAGGGGATCCAACTCCCTCTTCTGGTCTCTGAAGGCATTGCATGCACTGGTGCACTTATTACATACATGTAAGCAAAACACTCATGCACACGAAAATAAATAAATTAAAAAAAAGCAAATCAAAGTTCAGATGGACATTGGTTTTCCGATGGGGCCAAAATGCTACTTATTAAGTCATATACAGTCCCTCACCCCCAGTGAGGTGAGGGTGACATTAACAGAAGTTAATGGAAAAGACATTTAGACCTAGCTTCTTCATCTAGTTATAAGGGTGCTTCAGTATTGCCTTACTTTGCAGCCTAGATATTGTAAGGATTGGGGCTGGAGAGATGGCTCAGTGGTTAAAAGCACTGACTGCTTTTGCAAAGGACTGGGATTCAATTCCCAGCTCCCACATGGTAGCTAATGGCCAACTTCAGTTCCAGGGTATCCAAAGCCCTCTTCTGACCTCTGTGGGCATTATACAGCACATTCACTTACACACATGCAGGCAATACTACTCATACACATAAAAAATAAAAATAAAAATGGTTCAGAAATTGTGTGGATCTTCCATCAATGTCAGGTTTTACTGTTTATTTGTGGTTTGCACACCTAGGCTTATCTGTTAAACAAGGCAGCATAATTGTTTCTTCAGAGTTTTTCCTTACTGCTTTTGGACTTTGATATGAGGACTGTACCACTCTATAAGCATTGAAAATTTCCTTTGGTCATGTAAACTCACTGACTCCTCCACGACAGGTAGAAAGATACTTGCTGCTGTGTGGGTGAAAAGCCTTTTAACATATGGGACTAATGACTTGTACTTAGAAATTTCAGACTTCTTAGGAGGCAAGAATTAGCATAATTTAGGAAACACTATGCTACCTCAGAAATAAGTAAGAACTGAAAAAGGGATCTTATTAGATTTAGACATTTGTACAGGTCAGTTTCACATTGTACAATGAAAACTCAATGAGAGAGGCTTTTTAAGAATTTTCAAGTTGCGGGGGCTGGAGAGATGGCTTAGCGATTAAGAGCACTGACTGTTTTTGCAGAGGACCTGGGTTCAATTCCCAGCATCCACATGGCAGCTCTGAACCATCCTTAACTCCAGTTCCAGGGGAATCCAAAGCCCTCTTCTGACCTCTGTGGCATTGCACGACACAGATGCACTCACATACATACAGGCAATACACTCATACACGTAAAATTAAAAAAAAAGAAATAATTTTCAAGTTGGAGGACTTGGAAGATGGCTCAGTGGCTTAAGTACTTGTTGTGTAAACATGAGCCCCTGAGTTCACACCCACAATAATAGTTGGGCATGGTTGTGCACACCTGTAATTCTAGTGCTGGGAAGCAGAGACAGGAGGATTCTGGGAGCTCACAGCCAGCCAGACTAACCAATTTGTGAGCTCCAGGTTCAGTGAGAGACCCTGTCTCAAAAAACATGGAGAGTCATAGAGGAATACACACAACACCAACCTTTGCCTCCACATGTGCATATGTAGATGCATGCACCTGTGCACCCACATGCATACACTACAAACATATACATGCAGGCACCACACATTCACAAACACATAAATAAAAATAAATTGTATGCATACAAAAGAATCTTCAAGTTTGTTCTGCCTCATGAGGGAACGTGTGCTAGTCTACTTTGTAAAGTGACTAACTGAAAGAAAAAGTTGTTAAATGTTATACTATTCTCTGTGCACATCTGTCCTGGCAAATATTCAGAAATGATATGAACCGAGCTACCATTGTTATTTGAAAGCTTTTAAAAACATTTACATAAAAAACTCCAGGAAACAGAGAGAGAAATAGTTTCACAACTCTAGATATTCAAGGATAAAAAAGTATGTGCTGAGCCATCTTACAGTCCACTGAATGGTGACCGGATTTATAAATCAGCCTAATTAAAGATACAGACATGTGTATGCATGCACACACACACACACACACACACACACACACACATTCATATTCACACAGAATAGGCTGGGGGTGTAGCTCAGTGGCAGAGTTCTTACCTTGCAAATTCGAGGCCCTGGGTCAGATTCCCAGCATCAGAAAAATAAATGAGTAAATGAAATAATAACCAAAGCATATGACATTTATCTTGTCATGCTAATGGCAGGAACTGTGGAATAATAATTAGGACTGTTATCTTTGCTAATGAAGAAATCTTTTGAGACCCTAACTAAATGAGCTTCCTGGATAACTACTCTGTGGACAGCACTGAGATCAGAACCTGTCCATAGATTTTCATGGAAATTCATACATATTCCATGACTGTTGCCTATTATAATTTGTCTTATGCAATTATCTGGGTTTTTTTTTGAGTGAATACCTAAAACTAGAATGGAAAATTATTTTAAACTTTTATTTTTTTTAAATACTGAAAAGCTTCATTAATATGTGTGGTGATATTGGGGGAGTAGCTATAATTAATTCTAAATTTCATAATAAAAGCCATGTATTTATGGATTTGGAATATGTGCTTGAGCTTTGACATGGATATGGCTGTTCTTATGTTCTGGGACCTCAAAATATTTGTATGTTTTAAAATGCCAAGTTCACTCTAGGGAGACCTACTTTGGGATTAGCTCCAAGCTATGTAATTTTATTTCTTTCTGTATTTATTTAATCTCTTCCTTTTTAAGATTTATGTATATGAGTATTTTTGCCTGCACATATGTAAGTGCACCCATGAGTGCAGTGCCTGTGGAGGCCAAAAGAGGGCATCAGATCCCTTGGAAATGGAATTATGGACGGTTGTGAGCTGCCCTGTGGTGCTGGGAACTGAACCAGGTTCCCCTATAAGAGCAGCTGGTGCTCTTAACTACTGAGCCATCTCTTCAACCCCCATGCTGTGTGATTCTCTTATCAACCCCCTCTTGTGCTCCACCTCCTGGTGTTTATTTTAGTCTTTCTGCAGGGGAGGTATTGCCTGCTTTCTCTTGGAACTTCTATCGGAACTGAGACAGTAATTTAATGTCTAGATTTCAGGAAAATTGCTTCTGCTGGTAAAATAAGGACAACGAACTGGTAATGTATATGATAAGCTACTGAGAGGTCTTTACTAGTGTGAACAGTTTCTGTGGAAAACACGGTAGCGTGCTCAGAATGATCTGGAACTCATGGTCTGAATTCTTTCAAGACGTCTTGATCACTGCTATGTGTAAATGGTCCATCTAGGTGTTTGCCTCTGTCTCATGGCAGAGATTGGCTGTGGCTAAGTTCTAATGACTTTCATGAATTGCAACCTACACCTTTTCATTACATCGTGAATTATATGAATCAAAGAGGTAGTTCCAGAGTGATAATTTACATGTTTGCTCATCTGTGATTTTAATATCTTTGTGCTATGTAGTCAGTCATTCCCATGTGCCAATCAACACTGAAAATAAGCTCTTCAGCCTCACTTTGCTAGTTTATTCTTTCTCTGTGCTTAACCATTCATTTTACCACAAATTATAAAATATAATTCAGCTACCAGATATTTTTTGGTGTTCGGTTGTTTAGGTAACACAGTAACTTAGGGAAAGATATAGTTCTAGCCTTGATTTGAATTTGTGTTACTAATGTACAGATCATTTAAAGCTCTTCTGTCTTAAACACTGTTCTGTTTGTGTTTTCCTCATCAGGTGGAGTCTCTGAGTTTTTTAAAAGATGATGATAATTAAATCTACTTGAAAAATTAAGTGAATTGATGGTTGGAACACTCTGTTACCAGTTGCTTAACATTCAGCCACTAGGTAAGTTAAACCAAATGCTTGCTATGATTTTATTTCAGTTATGGGAAATATATCTAAAGCACAATAGTAAGTAGGCTTTAAGTGAGATTTTTGACAATAATAACTTGAGGGCCACAAAACATGACTGATGTTGGGGATATTACCTTCATGGAGGTATTTGTACATCTGTATTGTGGGCCTTTTTGTTATTTTGGCTTATTTAAAAATTTTGTATGTAGCTGTATGTGTATGTATATGAGTGTGGTGTCTGTGTCTGTGGTGTATGTGCACATGTCTACAGGTGCACAGGCCTGTGTACCTGGATGCCAAGCGAGGATATTAGGTATGTTGTTTTGTCACTCTCTGCTTTCTTCATTTGAGACAGGGTCTGTCACTGAACCTAGAGCTAGCCTGACAGTCAGTCAGCCCCAGTGTTCCTCCTGTCTGCCCCCACAGCACTGGACTTATATGTAAACATGAGGCTATTCCCAGCTTTTTATAAGCATAAGTGCTACCACTGGTCTATATTCCACAGCCTTCTTTTAAGAATGATCTTATTGATAATTTCCTTGTTGTAATCTTGAAGCAATTTGAGAATATCAGTTTTTACTCTGGGAGAGATTGTGTGTGTGTATAATCACATCTTATTCCATTCAGATCTAATATATAATGAGCTTTTTAAGAAAGCCAACACTTCCCACTAATCAACCAATTCTCAATTTGCAGAAATTTTGGTTTCTGTGATGAGAACAGACATTTAAGTAAGGGTTCAGTTGAACTTCATGTTGCCCTGGATGGCTGTGGAGGCTCCTGAGACAGAGAATTCAGAACCAGGAGGAGTTGAGGCTGTTCACAGATCACTAGGACTGCCAACGTTTAGTGGGAACAGGACTTTGGCTACTCTTAAAATGTCAGTGTAGTAAAGCCTGCTCTGTCAAACAGATTTTTGGCATCAGAAATCTAAATGATACGATTTTAGGGCTTGCTAAATTTTTGTTAACTTAGGGAAACTCATGTTTCAATTAACCCTTTTTATAGTAATAGAAAATTGGGAAAAAATATTTTCCTAATTTAGGTCATAAGATTTGAATTCCTGAAGTTTTATATGTTTTTCATGATGCTAAAATTGTGCAGCTTGTTACTTAATTTCTTTCCAAATTAACTGGAGCTATTTAAAAACCTGATGAGGGATCATAATAAAAGGAGAAAGTGTCTAATCATTTCAAGAGTCAATTTCCAAGCCAAACCAACTAGTGTTTAACGGTGACCATCTCAAGGTGCCATTGGTCAGGTGGCCTCCCAGTGGTAATACTGTATGGCCTATGGGCTCCAACAGCTGCCTTTAACTTTGTTTAAAATGATTTTCCTTGTAGCCTCTGCCTCGAATCTTACTTCACTAGTGTAGTTTTTGGACATTCAGCAACAGTAGAAATATCAGATCGACAAACTTAGGGAATCTTTTCTATTCTGCCTGCAAGGTTCATAATTCAGCAGTCATTTGTGGCCAGAAATTTTCATGTTATGTACACATAGTGCCATTTGGAAACATTTTTGTATAATTCAAGGGCTATAAAATAGTCAGATGAAAAATCCATCAGGAAGAAAAATGCTTTAAAAACTTCAAGAGCAAAACCTTAATGTGTTCTGTGGCTATTCTGTATGTTAGAAGATGAAAATTAATACCTGAACCACCAACCTAAATGTCTTTATTGCAGTTTACTTTTCTGACTACTCATAAGCTTGGGCTATTAAAGTTCTTCTCCATGTGCACATTACAGTATCAATGGTCAGTTTCAGCTGCTGACATCTGATTTAAGCTATGTGGAAGACACTGCTCTGTAAGTGCCTTCTGTGAGTGGACATGGCCTTGGTGTTGCCCTGTGAGCTCTGGGCTTCAGTGCTTTGAAATAACAATTGTTCTGAGTTAAGAAGGATGCTACTATATCCATAGTGCTCTTTGAAGATGAAACATATGGTGGATAGACAATATGAGCTCAGTAACTATTAGTGATCAGGAGGCTGTTGGTTAGTGGTAATAGTCAAATTGACATTGTTTAAACTCAACGGGAATTATACCTTGTCAATCACATACCTGTGGGTTCTTTTGCCTGCCAATATGGACCTAATTGAGAAAAGATGGTACCTTTTTTTTCAATTCGGTCAGATACATCTTAGGAAGGGAGATTTTACTATGGATTCTGATTATGTTGCATGGTCATCTCACTAACTTTATTAGTGAACTTGACCATGTCCAGTGGTTCAAGTGAGAAATTTTTTCTCCAAATAATAAAATTTCTCCCCACCATAAATTGTGATAAGTAGAAAAGAACTTTCAAAGAAGGAAAATCCCCAACTATTAGAATATTCATTTTGTGGTACATGCTGTAAAAGTTAGAAATACAAATAATTTTATCTTCACAATAATGCTGCTAATTATACTGTTTCCCTTCAAGCAGGCAATGCTTTTGACTAGTGCTGACATCATGCATTTAGCTAGAATCTCTGTCCTTAACCAGAGGTTCTGTTTTATATTCTCAGATATTTTTTTCATTGTACTGAGTAGATTTATTTGGGAGTTATGTAAGTGTTATTTCTTCTTGGAAGGAAGGTAAAAAGTTTTAACCTTCACCGAGTAAGATCTGCGATTCAGGATTCTAGTTGTACGTGAATAACCTTTTTAAGAATTCAGAATTCCATTTTTATTTGAGAATATCAGGTTTCAGAGTAGTAATCATTGTCCTGAGCATTACATAGCTATTACAGTTACTAATATTGACGTCTTAAGAAACGCAAAATACATAACTCTATTTCTTTAGCAATTGCTCTATTTTGTGATTTCCCAACAGACCTGTTGCTGAACCTTCCATAGCTCCTTTCTCTTCTGATATACCTATGTATGTATTTTTCTTATTATTTCTACAGATTAGGAAAATAAAAGAGAAGAAAGCTTTAATTTCACTTAGAAACATTTTTAGCTGGTCAGATGGTGCATGTTAAACCTCCCGCCATCACAGATAATTGAGAGTAGACATTATAAATTTTCAGGGTGTTGTAACCATCATAATACTACATTTTGTAAAGATGTTTTTTATGGCTTTTCAGATGCACAGTTTCTTTTTTAGGTCCCTTGCTTTTTATGATGACTGAAGACAGTGTCTGTATTCATGTTTGAATGCAAAATCAGACTGTAGACTCTTAGAGCACCTATACTCTGCTTACAAAGATTGTGTTCTTTGTTTCATCATTATAGTGGCTTCATGTCGATCCCATGCATGACTAGACTTCATGAACTATGTTGGTCCCTTCTTCAAAAATTTCTTCCTTGCAGTCATATACATTTTGAGTCTGCCAGCTTTAGTCTTCAAGCTTTAACTTGGCCACACACTTCATTCATGTGGTCAGTAACTTCTTCATTTGTTCATTATTCAGTCAGCCAACAGTAAACCAACAGTATGAGCAAAGTACATTTTGTTCTACGACTATGCTGTTGCTATTCAAAACCCTGATGGAAAGCTGCTTTCTTATTTTATGATAGTCTCTTCTCTCTTTACCTCGTCTCGTCTCCTTCCTTTGGCTTGTGCTATGTAAAGGCTGTATGGAGAGACCGCTTATCTTTTATTCCCCATAGCAAACCTACACAAGGGAACTGAGTAACCATGTGACTTGTTTGAATGATAATGTATATTAACATCTGGATGTAGTAGTTCGCCATTTAGTGGATGTTTTCCACCTCGGTTATCTCGTTTGAGAAAATAGCCGTGATACAGACATTACACACTATTTTGTGTATAAGGAAATGGAAGCTATTGCTCGTGGGGGTGCTACAGTTGGTGATGGACTCACAGTCACAGCCCTATTGAATCATAGAGCCAGGCTTGAACCCTGTTTTTCCCAACTTGAGACAGCATGTCATAGTCACTGTGCTGTCGCAGGTCTAGTTGACTGGCAGTATCCCAATAGTGGAGCTTCGTGGAAGTGGTCACTATATTATGTTTAGTATGACTCATATAAGAAAATAGAAGCCATGTTGAAATGATGAGAGTCAGAGTTTAGGGATTTTTAAAAACAATTTTTTGAGAATTTTGTACATGAGTGTTGTATCGGCATTTTATCTTCACCCCGTGCCCCTTCTTCCCATCTCCTGATACTGTCACAATTTCTTGACCTCTTCTTTGATTATTGACAGCTATGTATACATACATTTATAAATATATATATGTGTGTATTTATAATGCACTGCATCCATTTAGTAGTGCTCATGTGTGCATGTGTGTAGGGCTGCCCACTTGGGATTAGATAACTTCTCAGGGAGCTAGTCCCCAGAGAAAACTGATTCTCTCTCCCTCAGAATCCATTGATTGCCTATAGCTCTTCATCTTGAGGTAAGACTCTGAAATTTCCCTCGTCTACCTTGACATGTCAGCTGGTTTTGTTACCATGCAGATCTTAATAGGCCACCATACTGTGGAGATTGCATGGGTGGAGCTTCCCTAAGTGTGTCTAGAATGCATTAACTTCAAGTTCTGGGAAATAATCAAGGATTGTGGCAATACCTATATTATTTTGGAAACTATGAGAAAGAGTATGATTTTAGCCAGCCAAAAGAGTACACTTAATATCATGGCATAAAAATAGGAATTTTCCAGACCTCTGACAGATGTTGTCTACCTGATGATACTGTTAAATTCACCCAGTCATTCTCCATGGCTTGAGAATCTTACCATCTTCAAGCAATGTCCTTACAGATTAAGACTGGCTTCTTAACTCTGGCTTCTTGGGCAGTTACGCTTTTTAGTGTAATGCACTAAATCTCTAACTTAGAGATCCTCATTTGACGTTTGAACTTGATATCATGTTGACTTCTTATCCACGAAGTTCAGAAAGATAAATTGACTCTCTCCTTACATTGTCTGTTTGGTCTTTTATTTACACTGTAGGTTGGTGAACTTTACTGATGTCATAGGCTGTTTAATCCTTTTATTTTAGGGTTACTAATCTTAGCATTTTAGATCATCGGCCCT